AGATTCAAATGATGTTTTAAATCTTGCCCCAATTCATAACATCTGATGACTACATGATTAAGGTTGTCATAATGACTCTTTGTTCATGAGCAGCTCCTGTTCGGCTAACTAAGCAAATGGGTCGAACACGAACACACTTTTTGAGCTCGAAATATAAACTAGCCGAACACGAGCTGAGTCTGGGCTCCCCTCGTGTTCGGCTCGTTTACGACCCTAATTACATAAATAGCTCTTGAAACATTATAACTTTTAAAAATACCGAAAATTTGATAGACTTGTAAATAGCTATCTTATGTTGATGTAGCCCAAAGAAATATAGGAAATTTTTCATACATACTACACAATTTTTATGTATTTACATATCTAAAGCCTAAATTTTGATATTCACATTTAAAACACATAGGTGTTATAAATTTATGTTAAAAATGTGTTTTTTATTTAAAAAAAAAAAAGATAGTAATAATTATATTTTTGATGTAATGGTTTTTTATTTTTTTTTAAAAAAAGATAGTAATAATTATATTTTTGATGTAATTTTAAAGATTTAACTAATATGCATGTAAACTTGAATATTTCGCTATTAGATATGTAATTTTAAGTTATTCATATAAGATTATTTTAGTTTAAAAATATTTTAAAAAATCATTTTTTAAAAGAAAATTTTCAATGAAATTAGAAAAAAAGAAATTGAGGGCTTAAATGATATTTTTTTTATAAATATGAGCACTAAAATGATAATTTGAAAAAGTCAAAAAAATGATTTTGACAATTTTCCCCATTTTTTTAATCTCTCCCACAAGCTTTATAAAAAGTCAAATACTAATTCATCGTTTTAGCTCTCTTCCATGAAAAGATGAAAGAATTCAAAATAGCTTCAATTTGTTCTCATTTCTCCCTCCCTTTCTCTCTCGTGAATCGTTTCTTATTTTTTCTCGCAACTTTTGTCTCCCCCGCTCTCTCTCTCCCACACTCCGAAGCCCCACTGTCTCTATCTCTCTCTATCTCTACCCCCTGTGACCCGTGGAAGCCATTAATGCCGCTTACTACCTTCAAAGCTAGCAACCTTACCGGTATCCATACCAGAGCCGTACTGAGTTAATCCTGCCAACGTAAAACCCTTTCGGATCTCTTCACTTGTCTAATCTTCTCCGCCATTGCCTTCCTCTTCACGAGCTAAGTACAGAGTAGTAGAGATGGAAGGCAGGATGAGAAAGTATGGAGGCCAAGGGAGCTCTCCTCCTCCAGCCCTAAAACAGCAGAAACAGGGGAGAAAGATACCCGTCGTTTATTATCTCTGCAGAAATCGACAGCTCGAACACCCTCATTTCATCGAAGTTCCTCTTTCTTCTCCGGATGGGCTTTACCTCAGAGGTATAAAAATGGAGTTTTTGGGTCTAATTTAAGCAAAAGATAGCGTTTTGTGTCGTTCTTATTTAGGCATTTGTCCTCTTCTCTCTTTTGAACTGTAGATGTTATAAGTCGGCTTAATGTGCTCAGAGGGAAGGGAATGGCCGCCATGTATTCCTGGTCTTGTAAGAGGTAGCAGAGGGGAATCTCAATGTTTTAAAAATTCTCCTTTTTTATGGACTTGAAATGCCATTAATTTATTTGAATTAATTTTTAGGAGTTATAAAAATGGGTTTGTGTGGCATGATCTCTCTGAGGATGATTTAATCCTCCCTACCAATGGCACTGAGTTTGTGCTCAAGGGTTCTGAGCTTCTGGATCAACTCCCCTCTGGTAATTTTCCTCGATTATTAGCAAAAACACTGGTTTTCCCTGTGATTTTGTTTAGTGACTTGAACAAAATCATGTTTTTTTATCTTTCGGGGAATTTATTTGGGTGTTTTGAGTTTAGATAAGACAATTCATGGTGGAGCCATGGGAAAGCAACAAAATTTGAAGCTTTCTCAATCTGAAAATCCAACCCCCACTTCTTCAAGAACTAATGAGAGTTCATCTTCATCCTCTCCAACTGCCTTCAAGGACTCAAAAACTCCATCACCTCCATCACCATCCCCACCGCCACCTTCTCCTCCTCAAAGACTAGAAAAAGAGCAATGCCCTTCCGTAAATCGCCTGGCTTCGCCCACCAATACCTCTGCTAAGACGGTTTCCCCCAGTTTATCAGAGTACAGACTGTGTAAGCCGAGTAATGCTGCTGATGCTTCAACCCAGACTGAAGATGGAGGAAGAAGAACTCAAGTGGGAAGAAAGAACACTCGCACTAGAGGGGTTTCTACTGATCAAAACTCTATAGATTTTGAGTATGAACAAAACCAATCAAATCGAGCCATAGGATCCAACAATGGCTCTGACTTATGTAGGGATGAGGTTTCTCCACCACCAACCTCTTCAAGTGCTTCTTCCTCTGGTAGAAAGATGGAAACTTTGGAGTCTTTAATTAGAGCAGATTGCAGTAAGGTAAACAGCTTCCGGATACTCGAGGAGGAGGAGATTCTTATTCCAACGGGGCCAAGATTGAAGGCGACTAATGTGTTTATGCAGCTTGTAACTTGTGGTTCTATTTCTGTGAAGGATCACCATAGCTTTGGCCTTGTTCCGACCTATAAGCCTAAGTTCTCTCACATGAAATTTCCGTCATCGGTGTTAGCCAACTCTGTGTTTATCGGCGAGCTTGATTACTTGTCTGAGAATCCGAGTTTTGTTGGGTTAAGAGTGGAAGATAAGGAGTTTTTCAGTGGGAGCTTGCTTGAAACTAAAAGGCAGAAGGAAGATGTAAGAGAAGGTTTGGCTACTCTTAAGAGGTCCTCTTCCTTCAATGCTGACAGGTAAATCTGATAATTTTCTCATTGTTTGGGCTTCTTGTTGATCCTTTTCAGTAGTAAACTTTAGTTCTTAATTGCAGATTTGTCTAACCAGCTAACAATTTTGAGCTAAGTTAGCAATTGAACGGTTGTTATGTCATAGTTTTATATATTTTTCCCTTTGCTGGATACTCTTTCATGAATCTAAATCTTGCCATCAATGCAAATATGCTGTGTTTTCTTATAATTTATAAAACTTCTCTTGCATTTTCCAAAATTATGTTTATTCAAGATCTTAATTTTGTGTTTTGTAGTATTTTTTTTGCATATTGTGACAAATTATTTGAGGAAAAAGAAGGAGAATTGTATGAAGATGAACATGTAGGGTTTCTTTAGGCTTAACATCAACATATTGCTTGAATATCTTACACATTTATTAAGTTCATTAAATATAGATAATACTGTTAGTTTGATGAAATAATCTAAAATAGATGTTGTAGCAATAAGCTCCAGTTCAAGGATTTTGATTATTTCATCTGAAATGCTTCCAACATTGTTGGTGAATTTATTCAGCAGTGGAAGAAATTCTCTATTACCCAAAAAAGGGAATTTTACATATGTAGCACACAATTCTTATGTATTTACAGTGATATGTAAATACATAAGAATTGCTCGCTACCATGTAAAAGCCTTAACAAAATACACTTTCAAATGTAGAATATTGTGTAACAATGTTAAAATATTATGTATTATACAGAACTGCCAAATCGCCATATTCTACGAAAGAAAAAGAAAGATTTTTCGATTCTAAATGCCTTCCTCGGCCCGTCAAGCTCACGTCGAACAAGCCATCGAGGAACGAGTCAATGAGATCAGCAATCGCAGACTGCCCGAGAAACTCTTCAGTTGGTCAAGAGTGTAGCCAATCCTCCATTGATGCAAACAAGAGAATTACTGAAATTCCTTCAATCAAGGAAGATGGTGAGAAGACAATCAAGATTGAGGAAAGTTAAGTCAAATTTCTTTGAGATTTGTTCTTACTTAGTCATTTGCAGTTCTGTTTCTGTTTCTTGATGGAGAATGTGGGTGTGGTGTTCTTGCAGGCTTATTTCTGGGGCTAGGGTTATAATACAATCAAGAGCTCTGTATGATGGCAGTGATGGCAGCTCAAGTTCTTAGAACAGAAGAATTTTGATGTGTTTTTTTTTTTTTTTTTCCTCTGATTTTTGTCAGATTTTTGAAACTTTTATTATTTGTAATTTTTAGGTTTTTTGTGGTATGGCTGAAGAAAAAAAAATGAGGAATACTTACATACATATCACTTAATTCTTATGTATTTACATACTAACAATTAAAAATTCAATTTTTATATATCTGCCCACCTTAACCATGCTTTATTTTAGTTTTTAAAAGCTAAAATAGTGATATTTTTTATGTGATTGTGATATGAAGGCTTGGGTGCTGTAAATGTAAAATTTAAAATATAGGTGTTAGATATGTAAATACATAGAAATTAGGTGGTGTGTATGTAAATGCCCCAAAGTTTTAATGGAGACTTTTCTTTAGTTCTGTCAAACTCTGGGTCTGTTTGGGGCAGTTGCTGCTTATCCAGTTTATTTAGATAAGCAATTTATCCTGATAATTTAATAGTAAGTAGTTTATCCTGATAAGCTGGTTAGCTATTTGGTTTGTGCGTTTTGAAAATAGCTGATTTTGGATAAATGATCATTCTGCTCTGATTTTGAAATAATGTCTCTAGGATATCAATAGGTGCACAAAGATGAAAAATAACACAACTACAGTTCTTCACATATATTACAACTACACTTTTTGTCATTGCCAACTCTATACATAACAATTTTGAAAAACATAAATGAAGACCACTCAATTCCTAACATCTAAACTTCAATTTCTACAGCTATATTTCCTTAACTATTTATCGCTTCAATCCATTATAATTATGATATCAATTCACAAGTGCGTGTATTTCAATTGTTTAATTTTCATAAAAACCATATCCAAGTGCTTTAAGAAAAGAATAAGAAATTAAGTTATCAACTGCACGACACACCCCCGCTCAAATTAACTGCTTCAATGATGAGAGACCCGACAGAGAAAGGAGTTGGAGGAAGGAACTGGAGGAAGGAGCCGGAAGAAGAGTGATATAGAGGGAGTAAATGTTCGGGTATTTATCTGTCCCGACTCCTTCAGTGATGGAGTGTGTCGGTTGAAGGTCTCTCGGAGGGAGAAGTGACCGGATGAAACTTGGGGTCTTGGCGGGATAAGCTTGGGAAGAACAAAAGTTTTGTGGTGTCGAGCAATTTTTTGAAGCTTTGTGGCGCCGAACAATTTTCTGAATCTTCGTCTCCTCGTCTCTGTTGATGCAGACAATCGCCGATTTTAGCCATGTCTTCAGGGCTTGGGATAGAAGGGAGGGGAGAAGAAGCTCAGGCAGTCTGAGATTGCTACACTCATTCAATTAAAATAATACCAATCTTGTTTGTTGTAAATCGGTCAAACAAGCTCGTAATGACTTAGGGTTTTGCTGTAAATCGGTCGAACGAAACGGGAATCACGGGGTCCTACACGCGATCCGTGTTTAATTAAAAGAACGAAACACATTTTTAAAAATACCTTCAAAATGCATTATTTAAATACCCGACGGCGTTTTCAAAAAGCCTCCGCTGTGAATAAGCTCCCCCAAACCCACCACCATCTGTCTATTAGAATTACTTAAGTTAAGCTAATCATGATTTTCGAGCGTTTGAAGGCGAGCAACCATCAATGAAAAGCCCTCCCTTATCCAAACCAATGAAAGCAATCATCGTGGAAGGATAAAATATTGATTAATCTGCGTTAATTAGATCAATTAGTTCCCAACTATGCTAATTATTGTATGTTGATTAAAAATTAAGAAAAATTTACATATATACCAAGTAATTATTATCTATTTGCCTATCCAGCACCCAAAGTTTGGTATTTACACTTATTAACACTTTGTTGTCATAAACTTGTCCATGGGAAGATGTATTGGTCGTATTTTTATTTCATGTTATATATTTAATTGGCATGCATGTAAATATGTATGTTTATGTTAGATATGGGTCATATACTATAAATGAACATTGTTAAATCAGGAGCAGAAGATTCTGCCCAAATCAGGGGAGCTTCCTTATGTGGGTTGGGGTGTGGTACATGGATAGTTTGGTAATTACATATTGTACCCAATATTTCCTTTTTATGTACTTTCTAGGATTATAAATTAGACTTGTATGTAACCCTAGGGATTATCTCTGAATCCCTAATTTCCGTATTCTGTATTTTTTCTGAATTAGTGAAAAGCCGCCGCTCTGCTCCCCAGGACGTAGAAAACAACTTCGAAGTTAAATCTCTTTGTGTTCTTCTGGATTTGTGTCGTTCTTGTTTTTCTTCGTCTTAATTTCTCAACCGTTTAGATGTTAGAATTGTAAATATATAAGATTTGTGTGGTATATATAATGTATGTAAATGCCCCAAATATTCAAATTATATTACAAAATGACATACCAATTAATCTATATATCAACAGTCATACATATACCATCATTCAATTTAAATAATTTGAAATCCACCCCTCCAAAAGGTCACTTTTAATAGGAAAATGATACTTTATAAAGCAAAATGTAAATAAGTTAATTTGTATGCTACCAACTATAGAAGAAAAATATGTCCCTCTACTTTATTTAATTTACAAATCCTCTTGAAAAATCACATGAATTTGTAAGTCTAATTTTTCTGCCGGCCCTTTCCTTTTCAATTAAAAACTTAGTCAAATTTATGCATGGCACTCACATTTAATAATAATAATAATAATAATAATAATAAAATAAATAAATAATATTAAAAAATGCATTAAATTTTCATTTAATTGGATTTAATAATTACCATGCAAGAAGGGCTTTTAAACTTAATAATTAGTTGCATTAGGATGAATGTAGTCCATAAATTTTGGTGCTTTTGTAAATTTATATTTATTCAAATAAAAAATGTATTTTTTTTTTCATAAAATTATTATAATTAGACAAATTGACTTATCCAAGCATCAAGAGGGGCTAAACTAATTAATGTTCTTATTTCATTATATTAATGTAATTTACCAATTTTTGTGAGGTTTCTTACAAAATGCTAACTTTTTATGGTTTAATTAAGATAATTATTAATTAGCTAATTGCATAAAGACAAAGCCAACTCCTAGAACTTGTAGTCTTTTCAAGGAAATGTGGAGACAATAAGGGCCACACAACTAAACCATGTGCTCAAAACTTTATGAAGGTTGACATAATAGCCTTCACTTATTAGTAACAAGAAAGGCAAACTAGCTTTTACATGATTTGACATGAGAAATTATTAGTCTAACCTTAGTGCAACTCGGCCTATAAAAAAATGTTCTTAAAGGTAAACAGTTTAGAGCTAGTCCAAACACCATTATTTGTGTCATTACATTAAAATGTCACTTCAAAATAGGCCTTTTTTATGTAATCTTTTGATGTGCATGGGAAAAGGGCATGCAATATGTACCCAAATTAAGCTCTATTTTTAGTGGGTTTTAAGTATTTTTGTGGACTTGTATGCATTTTGTATAAATTTTGATATTTACTCATATAATATTTATTGTCACAATCATTTCAAAATATATGTATAAAAAGTGTTTAATTAAAAAAAAATAAAAAGTCAATAGCAACAATGATTTTTAAAGAATATTTATATAAATACTGTTTAATTTATACATATTTACAAATCTAAGGGCTAAACTTCACATATCACCTTACCTATGTAAGAAAAGATGTAATCAACTTTTTAAAGTTAGAATGGAGATTTTTTGTCATGTGATATGAAAGATTTGGGATAGGTATTTGGTGGAATGTACGTTAATACATAGGTAATAGGTCTTAAGAAAGAGACGAAACATGCCAAAATTGGGGTAAAAGTAGCTTATGGTGAGAAGTTGGGAGAATTCTCTCACTCTTATGTGTGACTGGAATAGGTTGACCATTGCCTATCGTTACATGTTCCGCCCCGATTGAAGGATTAACTATCTGGAGATGGCTAAAATATTATATAAGGTGAGTTGTTGCACCAGAGTCCAAGGCCCAATTGGAAGCAGTTATTTGTAATGCCACTCAAGATTGGACATGTGCAAGCGACTGACAATTGTCCAAATTTGTTGAGGATTGGGCATCTAACCTAGATTTGAGGCGTGCTTTGCCCACCCTTGGAATGAGGATTGGTTGTGCTCGGCCATGACCTCAAGAAGAGGAGGAGAAGCTGATTCCAAGTAGCTTGGAGTGCGGCTTGAGCATTACTGGCCTGCTCAATTCTCTGATTGTCGCTGGTTGTGTTAATCTCCTCACTGCAAAGAAGAGAGTAGAAGTCATCCAAGTCTATAGGATGCACTTGTGTGCGAATGGCCGTCTTGAAGCTTTGATATCGTGTTGGATAAACGATTAAGTGTATAAAATATAATGTTTTCACGATCCAAATGTCCGCCCGCTGCAGAGATAATTGTCGACAACAGTATTGACCTTGGATAGATATTGTGTCATGATCTGGTTATGCATCGAGAGGTTGTGAAGTTCATTCTTCAATTGAATGAGCCTCGAACGATTCAAGGGCTGTAAACATTTTGTAATGGTGTGCTTGATTTCTGTTGTGGTGGAGAGATGCAAGACATAAGGGAAAATGGAAGGTGAGATTATGGAATAAATGGCTGCAAGACATAGGTTCAAAATTGCAGAATTAAGATTTAAGATCATCCCAACCGTCCAATATATTTTAAATGAATGACATCAAATCCATCAAAATCAAAATAATTGTTTGACATTCAAATAATTTAAATGCAAATATTAAAAATATGAATATTTTTTTTCCATAACCATACAAGTTTGACTTGAATATCAATTAATATTGATTAAAAAATATAATATATTTTGATTTTAATTGAAAAAAAATGGTCAACATGCAAATCAATTTTCGATTAAGAAAGATTAAAACCATTTTTTAATTATTTAAATTACCGTAAACATAAAAAAAAAAATTTAATTTGAAATGCATTTTATTAATGGGAAATTTACATACATGCCACACAATTCTTATATGTATTTACATATTTGGCATTTAAGTTTGTTTTTTACCCTTACAATATTTTGATG